CAATCACGCCAGTTCATTACTGAGCTAATCAAAGATTTTTTTTCAGTGGATCAATCATGCAAGCATGCAGCTAATAACTAATCCAATTCCACGGAGGATTGATTTAAAGCGTCCGATTTTTATTCAAACGTAAAGTGTTTAAACTCCATAATCGATGGTTGTAAAAAAAAAAAAAAAAAAAACCCTCTCCAATTGATTTATACGTGTAAATTCAAGTCTAACAAATCTATACAAATTTTCAATATTTATGGATTACTTTGGACAAATCAAGCATTCTACTTGCCTTTATCTTGATTCATGGAGAGAAATACTGAATTTGCAAAATGTTGACAATTTTTTTTCCTTACTTTCATTCTTTTTTCTTTGTTTCTATCTACTTTAGACCCTTTCTATATATTTCCTGCCAAACCCAATAAAAACTTTGCATTTAATGATGCCTGCATAACCCAAATGTTAAAGTAAGACACGTTTTTTAATTACCTGTATTTTTTTGTTGAAGGGCATCTATCAGTTGAAACGCACATTTGGTCTTATAAATTAACTAATTTATATTCAACCAATTAGGTATATACATCCCAACCAAATTTAATTCCGAAATAAAAAATAAAAACATGTGAAATGGTAGAGAACATGGTCAAATGAATCTGTTGAAGACACACAATCACACAAATTCAAGCAATCTCAATATCCTTTTGAGAATTAAATTTGTTCTTTTACTTTTATTTTATTTTATTTTTTGAGTTGAACGTGTTTTTCCTAATTATTTTTGGGGTCCCTGAAAGATTCAATGTATATACAAGAGTTAACGTCTAACATGCATGCATATATCCAATCTTGTCCTGTACCAAAAGATCATGCAAAAATAATTTTCCCTTACAGAGGGCTTGATTTTTTCAAAGATTTCAGTCCAAAGGTAATCTTTGTCTTGCTAATCTTTTCCTCTGAATTCTCTTCGTCACTCGTGGATTAAAGCTTGATATCTTAATCGGAGAGTAGATCACTTATAATTTTTTTATTATAACATAATAAATTCCATCACAATAAAAAATTATGCAAGAATTCATTATTTATAAATATGAGCTTTACATAAATTTTTATAAATCTCACATAATTTTAAATTATAATTAATTAATTGTATTATAATAATTGTAAATGAAATATTCTCTTCTAATCAGAGCACATTTAAGATTATTGAAATCCAGCATAGTTATAGTCAAATTATTGGCCACCCCATTAGTATTTACACCTCTTATTTTGCTAAAAAAAAAACTTAATTAAGATTTTAAATTTTATTAAAAAATTAAAATTAAATTTATGAATTTTCATTTCATTGTAATTATACTTATTAAAATTTTAAAATTAATGAATAAATTCCAATTTTTAATTTTCATAATTATTAAAATAACAATCTCTCAAATATTTATCATCCATATCATCTAAATAAATTCAAATACTAAGTATTATTTTATAAACTCTATAAATCAAACAAGAAAATTTTAACAAAATATGAAACAATTATGTAATGTACAGATTTTAATAACAAAATACAAATTGATAACTTTAATTCCATGTAATAAAAAATCAAAAGCTTATTTCTATTTTTAGTGAAATTCTAAATCTTATTTGGATTAAATTTAATTGATCAAAATGTTGAAGTCATGGGGGGTGAAAAAGATGTAACGATAACAACATATTCAAAGGGCATACAAAATTAAAGTGATTCTAAAATTAGAAAATGGCCCTTTCCCAAGTGAGAGGTTTGGTTGGCTTCCCATAATCCCTGCTGTCCTTGGCAAGTACTGCGGAAGGGTTGGATAACAGGTCATCGTTGTTGTGATGTTTATCCTTTGTGTTCATGCACCTCTAGAGTTGGATTTTTTCAAAAATTCCTCCCTTACCTTTCAAGCCACGAATTTAATTATATTCTTCTATTAAAAAAAAGTTGTAATTTTAAAATAAGAAAAATGACTATTGAAATTTAAACTTTAAACATGTTATATGTATTTTTAAAAATAATTATTTATAAATTAATTAAATTAAATTTTAAGTTCAATTTATTCACATTTTTTATTTTAATATATATGATCTTGAATATATTTTGAACATCTTTATTTATTTATCAAAATATATACTATATAAAAATTTCAATATATATTATATATAGATATATTAAGCATATATATATGTATACAATTTGCAAGTATTTTGAAGATAAAAATATAATAATCTTTTTTTTATGTTAATTGCTGTTAAATGAAAATATTTCTTTTTCATTGATACATTCATGAATTTAATCTACTCAAGGATTAAATTTCTCTCACTTTTTCTAAAAGAAATTCCTTTTTTGAACTTTTGGGTTCCCCAATCACTTATCTTCCTTTACGTTCTCAAGTATTCTTCACAAATGGACTGGCATGAAATTGTAATATTGAGATGGTAATATTGCCATGAAATTGTAAAACTAGGCATAGGTTCCACATATTAGCTCTCCACTGTACTCCAAGAGATTTTTAGAGCTATATATTTGAAGGACCAGAACTTGAAACTCCTGCTTTTCCAAGAGCCCGGGTGTTGAAAAGCAGGTGTTGTGGGGACGACTGCCCTGCCATTCTCATTTGAAATAAGCAAAGTGCGTTATGATCTGTTAATAGAGTATTTAGAATCAGTTAATTTTAATGAACAGAGTTAATTTTTTATAATTTTAAATATAAAAAAATATTTTTTTTTTTGTTATTGATATTTTGAAAGTCTCATCATAAGCAAATATTAGTATAAATAAATTTTACATTTAATTCTCTAATTTCAGTTTTGTGAAATTCTTTAATAAAAATGATTAAATTAAAATTTGATGGATTAAAAGAGTTTAACGAGAAAATAAATAATATATAAAAAATTATTACAAAAATTTTACAATTTAATTTAAATTTGATCAGTATTATTTAACTATAAAAATTTTGTTAAAATTTTTACCTAAAAATAACAATCTAAAAAATATATCAAAATTTATTAATTTATTTTTAAAATTTACTTATATTATTTATATATTAAAAACTTTTAATTTATCGATTTTAATTTTTACTTAATCGTTTTTAATAAAAAAAATTTCATAAATTTTACTTAAAAAATTTCATCTAAATTTTTTCTTAATGTAATCATGGTTGTAATTAGAATGCATGTAATTCTTAATTTGTCTTATTAAGCAGATTGCTATGAAATAAGAAGAAAGCGACAAATGAAAGAACATATACAAAATGCATAACCTATGTAAAATGAGCCAAAAGCATCGGAGAGAGAAAAAATAAAAAAAAACCATCATTCATGTGAGTGAGATCATTAGGTGATTAGTTCTCAAGGTTCATTTAATCTTTTGCATGCATTTGGTCATTTCTGAAAATGGTGGTCGTCAGGTCAATGTGAAAGCCATTATTCTAATATATTATTATATTCGATCAAGATCTATTAGGTGAAGCTGAACCTTCGGCGTCATGAACAATAATATTATTCTCTAGTCGTAAAAGAAGATGATAGCCACCATCAAAGATCTGACGCGTAATATTCAACAACCATTGTTCTGACCAACCCATTTCATCATCAGCCTACACATTCTGATGAATCAATATGTGTATCATTAGCATTCAACAACCACCACCTCATGTTTGTTTTCTTGGTTCACATTATTGGGACATCTTCATTAAAGAGGCTGCTTCAGCTTCATATTCAGAGGGTACAAGTTTAGCTGGTTTTTTCTTTGCTTATTTTTTTCTTTGGGGCAAACGAATCCAACTACTATTTGCTTGATATGGCCAACTAGAAGTCTTTGAGCCGGACGCCAATTCCTGAGTTCAAATTCCATACGTTAAATCAGAACACAAATGAAAAAGAATCATCTAAAGTTAAACTGGAAAATTCTAGATTATCTTGTTTTCCTAATAACGCCTGCTCGCGTATCGTGTCAAGTAACGTTGTACAACTCTGTTTTCTCAGTCGGTGAGCTGCGCCTAGTTTAAAATTGTTATTGAAAATAGTTTTTATTTTCAAAAACTGTTTTTATCTGATCTCAATCTTAAATAAAATAATTTGTAATTTTTTAATTTAAAAATCTAATTTACAATCAAACAAAAAAAAAAAAAACTTTTCAAAAGATGTTTTTGTCATAAAATATTATGTTTGGAATACAACAATTCACTACATCATCTCTATACTTTTTAATATTTTATACATATTTTTTAAAAAAATTTCAATTACTCAAAAAACATTTTTTCATAACAATATCAAATACTTAAAATTTTTAAAAATATTTTTTATCACATTTTTATGGACCTTTTTCAGTCTAAAATTTTTTCAACTAAATCAGTAATATTAAACTAACCTTTGATTAATTGATTGAGATTTTTTAAGATTCTTCACAAAATTTTCACTAAATTTAGTGAACACACTATTAGGGTTATGTCAACTTTTCCTTTGCGCATATAAATGTGCCAATCCCAAAGACTATTTCCAGAGGCTGGTTTTTGCAAGTCTTGAAGGTGACACCATGCTTTGTGTTTCTATTTAACAAAAAAGAATAAAAAAAAAAGGCTTTCTATATTCTTGGTTATCGTCTCTAGAGTTTCTTAACCATAGGATTCCAAACACCCGCTTATCTATTCTCCATTTACTTCAAATCGTAATCGGAGAAACTCAACAAAGGTTGACCTTGGCAAAAAAGAAGAAAATAAAAAAAAAAGGTGAGATAAAAGAAAAAACAGATAAAAAAAACCTCTTAAAAAAGTTCTATAATCATTTAAATCTTTATCATTTTATTACAATTAATTAATTTTTAAATTTTTTATTTAGTCAGTTTGAACCTTTAGAAATTTATTTTCACCCCAATTAGACTCTCGAGTAGAGGAAAATGAATGTTGATTAATTAATTTTTGTTTAATAAAAACTAAATTGATAAAAATAGATGTTTGAAAACTTAATAAATTGTAATACAATGATAAGAACTTCAATGATTATAAAATTTTTGTTTAAGAACCTTTTTTACCCTTTAGCAATTATGAAATTATACAAATGATATAAAAACTGTATTTTGATCATCTTGTTTCTTCCTTTTCCCACAGCTATATACAACTTCTCTTAAGTGTTCAAAATTATAAAGATGGACAATTGTTAATTAAGTAAAAATCAGAAACTCTTTTCTTTCTCTGATAGACTTCAATCATACAATCCCTCCTGCTCCCATACTTCCACCAGAAAATCAATCATTTGCTGCCAATTAAGTCATGGTTAGAAGGCAGCAAAAACAAATATAAATGCAGGGCAAGGTACTTAAGAGCCAGCAACACGCAAAGTGGACTTACAGAAAGAGGAATTGGCCGGGGGAATGGATTCCTGGTCCCTTGTAAACTTTCATAAGTTGCATTCCAACTGTAACAATGTAAGATTAGGGAAATTAAGCATAAGTGGGATGAACACAAACTACTAAAAGATTACTTTTCATTTTCAATTAGACCTTTCTCCGGCCTCTCTAACGTTTCTTCACAGCTTAACACATGCACTCTTACCTTACTTGCTCATAGCATAAGACTTCACTTCTCAGTGTTATATACCCATCACTTATCACTGAATTCATCACATAAAAAAGCTTTTGCCAGACAGCTATATTTTTTTGAGTACAATCTGGAACAGAATGGGGTGATGTATTCACAAAGAAGCTGCTATCATGTTCTTACTATCATGTTCTATATAAGTTGACCAGCTTCTCCCTAGATTTCCATACTTTAGGAGTTAGCACTTTATACCCAAAAATGTCATGCTTGCTTTTGGTACTCTCAAGCAGTAAAACTTGATAGCATTAGCACCTATATTTGTCCAATGGACACAATGAGTGGTCCAGAATTTGGTGCCAGTCGAAGTATAGTATTGCCTCGTTCATTAGAAGGGAGTATGGTACCTGCTAGCAAGACTTGATATTTATTTCACACCATTTCTTTTACTCATTGAATTTCACTAAATCGAGACAAATTTTTGTTGGTAAAGGAAACTATCTAATAAATGGGCAACTACTTTAACAGATGAACAACACTTTGCTCCATAAATTTCCTGGATAGCATATCGCGTTGAAACATAAAATGTTAAAATAATGAGTGACACACCTTGATATGGGCTCTTTACTTTGTTGAGCATGATTCCTAGGCCTACTACTTCCCATCCATTCGAGTCGGGTCTGATTCCAAACAATAAAACCTGCGATTAACAAAAATATAACTGCACAATTTAATTTTGACAAACTCAAAGTTCACAACAATGTCATGAGTAAAATTTCAATTATCTGTCCTCGGTGTCATATAGTTTGTGGACATGATAAAGAGTATAATAAGTAAAACTTGCCCTGATTTACAAAATCAGATGGGTTGCCTACACCACCATTGCTACTGCATTGACTTAGAGTCGGATTTGATGCACCGATTGAAGACAAGCTTATTTGAGATTGAACAGCACTGTTTTCCAAATCATATGTACAGTTGCTCCAAAAATCATCTGAAATGCTAGGTTTCCTCACTACACGCCCTTGAATTCTCAATCCTTTTGATGGCTCATCCACAGCAATAACCGGTGTAGGCTTAGTGCAGCAGCCAAAACAACCACTGCTCTGTTAAAAACCAGGTTAAACCACACACATTTATATAAAACGTCTAGCAAGAAGCTGAAGCAGAACTTAGCTCACAGCAAAAGGTTTTAACATTTTCAACAAAAAAATTCAGTGGAAAGCTCCATGTTCCCTTTTTCTTTTAATCTATCAGGAATAGATATCACTGAGACTCACTAGTTATGCTCGGATTGCATCAACAATGTCACCATAGGACCGATCTAACTTCAAGGAAACATTCTGTAAGCTACATTCTTAAGCAATTTGTGAACTATATCTCCAAGAAGAATGATATCATAGTTGAAAATACAATAAATGAATAAACTCTACTTCTGTTAGCAACGACGGATCCAAGATTTTTTTTCAAAGATGCCCACTTATAATCTATATAAAAAACTGTCAACAGATTTACCAATTTTATCCATGGAAAGAGTGTCCATGAAAAAATTTTGAGGGTGTCCAAAAAAATTTTCCTTCAAATTTTCTTGTTTTTCAATCTTTGGGGGTGTATATATCGACACCACACCTTCAAGCATGTATCCACCACTGTCTGTTGGCCAGCTTGACCAGTTGACTAGTATTTACAAGTGTGATTTCCATCATTGAAATGAAGACAGTTGAAAGATCGGCTAACAAAATGGAAGAAAACCATATTATCAATTTGAAAGCCGAAAACTTTTCATAGAGAAATGGTATTATAATTGGTTTCCCAGCAGCGAAAAATGGGCACGTTCCCACATACATAAAATGCACTACATTATAATTTTCTTTACAGAATATTTAAGCCTAAATATACAAAAGTAAGGAGCAAGGCATATTATGCCTTGTTCCACTTACACACCTTTTCCCTTTCAGTCTAGGCGAAAAAGAAACCTTCTTTCCCAATTATAGAATTAATGCCTTGGCATACATAAGCAGCTAAATCTGGCTATACACGTCAATTTGAAAAGACCATGTACTGCAGCAACTGCCCTTTACAGCAGGGATACTTTACTTTATAGGAGATTGATTTGACAGAATATGGATTTTCCCAAGTATAGGAAGTTTCGTTTGGTCAAAGAGACTAGGCCCTTTCAACAATTCCTAGACTGACCAACTAGAGGCAGTTTTGTTGTGAAGTGGGGAGCCAGGACTAGCTTCGGTAACAGGTAATTTAACCTGTAAAGCTTTATCTATTTTCTACTTTTCCCTCTACAAATGTCTTTAGTATTACCATCTTTTTATGGTACTAAAGTTCCGTCCTTACAAAATAATAAAACCAAGAAAACTATACTAAGTTTCACCCAAAAAAAAAAAAAAACCTTGTTCACCACCACATACGAGACTCACATGTCTTCTAACTCAGGATTTTGTTCTATCCAATCAAACAGTTCACAGAGTGTTGCGCATAAACAGCCATGTCATTGTATCTAAATCCTAATAGCAGGATCTCCCCCTCACCCCCCCCCCCCAAAAAAAAAATTAAAAAAAATCTAGTTAACCGTTCGGTTGATGCTTTCCTCAAAAAACGGGGTTTTCACCCTAACTCCAAATTAAGACCTTCCCTTTACCATGTTTGTGATCCTAGTAATCTCATATTCTATCAAATTGCTAATCGTGAGTAAAAAACTGGGGCTAAACTGCCACAACCACTAGTACAAGTACCATTTTGACACTCAATCATATAGTGGAAAATATTAATCTCATTTCTACTGTAGGTAGAAAAAAAGCACCATACAATCTTCCTATTCTTAGTCCAATAATATGAAAAAAAAAAAGGGTCAACATTCAAACAAGTCAAGTCTATACCACCTTAAAATGAGCTTTTAGTATAAACAGTGAAAATAAAAAGGAAAAAGAAAACCCAAAAACTCATCCAAAAAAACTTATCCAAAAAGAAACAAACATTGAAATCATTAAGAAAAAGAAACCAAATACTTACCCCATGCAAGCGAGAAGGTCACCGATCCAACTAGTGATCAAACTATTAACAGTCACCATGCTTTTTCTATTGCGGCGAAACAATCAAATAACACCAACCATCAGTGCCAGTCTCAAGTCACAACCACCAACAACAGCAACAATAATCCAAAATAAAAAAATTTCAATACCCAAACGGAAGTAGAAACCAAGGAATCTGGAAATGAATTAACGGGTACTTGAAATTGTCTTTTTTTTTTTTTTGTAATTCTGGGATGGTGGGGTTGGGAAGATATTTTGAAAGTAGGGGGTACAGCAGTTGTTGCTGCAACTTGACTGGGCAGTTAAAGAAGTGAGAAATTTGTGAAAGCTGAGAGAGTAAATGAGTAATATATGCTTTGCCAGGGTTGCGGATGCGGGCGGAGGAACTGTCTTTTAACTAACAGAATTCTAAAGAAGGCCTCGGGTTTTGGATTTGGCCTACCAAAACATGGGCTCCGTTGTAAAACTAATGGAAGAGAATAATGTAACATTATTGACTTATTGTTAGTTGAAAAAAGAAAAATAAAGATTACGAGCCTTATAATAATAGTATAAAATGCCAAAAATAAAAAAATAAAAAGTTTTATTTTAATTTAAAAATAAAATTTTAAATGCATCAAATCATTACGAAAAATACACCTTTAATTTGCCCAAGGAAAAAATTAAATTAAAAAATACCGAATCATATTTAAAAAATTCTCTACAACATAACTATAAATAAATCTTTATCTTTAAAATTGATATTATTACACAATGTTTTTATTTTTGTCTGCCCATTTACATATTCGAACAATGTCACCACCTCCCATAACAATTATACATAATTTGGTTATCTTAAAGTTATTATCAATAGTAAAACCCCAGGCTCCAAGAGCAAGAAAGTGCCCCGATGTGTATGCCAAAGCAAGCACTTGAAACATTGCTGGCCATCGAATCCACAAGAAATTAAATGGTTTCTTCTTTGCCTTCAATAGGCAGAAGTGAACCTCAATGTTTACACATTGACTTTATTGTCAATGCGCCCCCATAAAAGAAAGCGCATTCTTTCTTCCATGCGCAGAGCATGGTTAGGGCTTGGGCATCTCCCATTTCCCATCCTTAAACAAAATGCAGGAAACACAAGGGAGAAGGATGAAAGAGCTCCACGATCTCCTCTGCCTTTACTGCTTTTATGTTTCATTTCCAGGTAAACATGGATAAAATAAATCCAAGAAATAGATTGGTTACAGAACACTCGTACCAATTTCTCAATAATCCCAGGCTGCTCTTGGTTCTTATCCGCATGCACCCCAAGGCGTGCGCATAAATGCAATCCCACGTACCACAAAGACTCAAAAGGCACTGCCATTTCAACTATATCTGTGTTTCAACAGTTGTTTTAGGACTGCAACAATAAGTACAGCACCATGATGAAACAAAATACCGAAGATAATTCCAAATACGGTATCACTATTCACTAATATAATAGCAATGGAAAACAAATTCATAGAATCCTAGCTTCAGCAGCATCAGTTGAATATCAAGTCCACAACTGTAATTTGGTTCCCCTAATTTCCACGTTTGAATAAGAGAGATGCCAAGTTAGCCCTCCATCCAATCATCAATGAAGGCTCTTGCCTTCCGTAAAGAAGGGATGCTAGTCCCGGCCGCATGCTGTAACTGGGCAAAATTGCATGCTTGACATTTGTCTCTGTCGTCCTGGTAAAGATTCAACAAGCACATTATGAAATTTTTAAAATTTTTTAACAATGTTTCTATTATTGTTAATATATTTAAATAAATTTGGATACAAAATAATTATTTTACTTTATAAAAGTTTTAAGATTATAGAAAAACTAATAAAAAAAATATAATTCGGTTTGGTATGACTATTTTTGGTTTTTTCACTTCATGATCCGAAAACCAAATCAAACCCAATTGAAACATTTTAATATCAAAACTGAATAAGAAGAAAACCAAACCGAACACTATGATTTTGAATTGATTTTCTCACTTTTTTTCTCAGTCCTAACAGCTAGGATAGGCATTTTAGTAGCAAATGGCTAAATATGGTAAACCATTTAGCTGGTAAATCACAACAAAATCACATCAATACCCCAACTTGAGAGGTAACAAGAGAGCTGAAAGCATGTATTGTTTAATCAAGAGCACCATACAACAACAATACATCAAACTGGTGTGGTAAAAGGAATGCAAAAAAGGTACATCAGCTTGAAAAGTTCCTCAAATGTAAAATAAGATAAAAGAAAAGCATAAATTATAGAATTTAAATAAAAGACATCAACGTTTATATGAGTCATAAAATAGAGTAAGGCCATATCTGTCCAAAAATTAAGATGTACCCTAAAGATTTCTAAAAGGTTTGGTGCATTTTATTGCAGTAAATCATGTGCACACACTGGTGCATGTCCTCAAATGTACTTAAGATGGAAAACTTGCTTAGAGTCTTTGGAGGCATTCCTTAAGAATTGATTTAGAAGCTAAATCCATAAGCAGCAAAGAGCTCTTAACTGCAAAAGCTTTGCGCTTGACAGAGTCAGAGCAACAAGTAATATTATCAGCTAGACAATTGGGTCCCTATTAGCCCCCAAATTATCATTTTACCAATTCATCAAGTACTGACATCCTCTGGTTAATTTAAAGATTCAATATGGTTGAAGCCCTCTGTTGAGACCTTTTTACAATGTAAAGAAATTAAGAAAGACAAAACTTTTCACTGTTTTCTTCTTTTTTTCCACCTTCACCTGGAATTTTCGGTAAACTAAATGTTTGTTTCATGTATATAATTTATTCCAAGAGAATGAATAGTATCGTGTCATGATTCGAGCTGACGCCTTCAAGTTTTCAAACCTATAATCTATAAATATATAAAACATTCAAAGTTGAAGGAATTCAGACAAAAATCTTTTGCATTGATCTAACAGATATTTCCATTAAGCAGCAGCATCAATGATATCATTAAAAACCTTCTCAAAGAAAAGAATGCTTCGCTGAAAGGTCAACTGTAAAATTGATTACCTAAGAGCTTAGAAAAATAGTGATTGAGGAAATTCGTAGCAATTCAAACAACCAATTACCCAAGTATTGACTTTTGGTAACGGAGAAGTTAATATAACACAAACCTTATGGTTATGGCGTTTTTACTTTATAGTTTCATTAGATCGAAAACTTCCATAAAAATACTTAAACACCTTCCTCTAGGCCCTAAGTGCACAGAAGATCAGAACTCAGAGAAACAAAAAACTACACTAACATTTTGCTTTTATCATAATTGTCATTGTTATTTTCATCACATAACAGAGTTCAGTTTGATGCTTAGGATTGGCTTTGAAGAAACAAGAATGGAAATAACCTATTTATACCAATAAATCAATGGCTATGACCAGGAAGATTTTCTTTGAATATCAAGGCACAAGTCATTTTTGTCAGGAAACTAAAGGGCTTTAGATCAACTGATCAAGTTTTACCAGATATAAAGATAGCCCTATCTTCTTCTTCCAATAAAAAAAAAAAATGCATCACTTCCCTAGGTGTTGTCCAAAACAATGAAATAGCATTTACTTAGCATATGGCACTCAGTCAATATTTTGTACAGGACAGCCAAGGAAATGCATACCAGTGTGAAGTACGGAAACTTAAAAAATTTTTGTAGGGTAAAAACATTCCCTCACAACAGCACGTATCTATACCTAATTAAAGATTATGGAATCATATTGAAAAAAATTCAAAACATACTGAAAATAATATATCAGCCTGTATTTTCAAAAACAAGTTAATTGCGTGTATTTGTTCCTTGTCTAATTTTATCAAAACAACCCTTTATCTTCTAAATCAAAAGAAAGTACCTTTCCCTAAAAGCTAACACTATAAAGACAATTGAAAAGCGAAGAGTTAATAGCATCCCAATTCAGATAACAAGTAAACATCAAACAATTTGCAGTATAATTGCCAGTAAAGGGTCCAGAATCTAAGCTGCCACTAAATTCATACAGTAAGTGAACTAGGAGGGACTAAAACACACGAAAAGATAAAGCAACTGTGAGGAGAGGACCATACGAAGGAAGCAATGTGCCTTGAGAAGCAAATGTGGACATGCCTTGCCGTTGCTTATGCTTAGGGTTGGCAGTGCATAGTACATATACCCGTCCACAGCGCTTAACGGTTCTGCAGAATTCACACATCTTTTTCACTGATGATCGCACCTTCATACTTACTACAGAACAATCCAATTAAGATACCATCAAATTCCCTGAATCATACTTAACCATAACATAATAACTTAGGTTATAACTATAGAAAAATACCACCATTTTTAACCATATTAAAGATTTAACCATAACATAATCACTTCGGTTATAACTATAGGTGACAAATGATTCAATGAAGCATACATTTGCATTTGAAATTTGGAACCTAACTTTTTGCAAGCAATTTAATTTCAGTCTCAAGACAAAATTATATATTACTTTGTTGATAAATAAAACAAAAATGAAAAACCCTAAGGAGGGATTAAAATGTTAAAGGGGATCGTCACTAAGCGAAGAGCGTTTACATGAGATGAAATTCGATCCTCATAAATAAACACCTCAAAATTTTCAAAACAAAAAGGAAATAGAACGGCAAGTAGTGAAGAAATTTACGTACCGATTGGGAACGGTGAGGTATTGTCGTAATGCGAACTAAACCTCTCCTTCCTGGGTTTTCTTTGGGAAGTCTTGGGGTAATTAGGGTGCGGTGTGGGCTGATCGGGTCCAGTTCCCATTGAAACGATTGATTCAAAGGATTCGAATATTGGCCCAATCAAATCGGATTTGGTCCAACTCTTATCTAATAGTATATACGAAACCTTTAAAATTATTAGAGATCACTACAACTTTAATATTATTTATTAAATCAAATAGTTTTTATTCATTTAAATTAATAAAAATATAATCAAATAATAAATCAATCATATAAAAAATAATAATTTAGTATAAATTAATTAGATCAAATTATATTAAATTATTATTTTTATATAATTAATTAATTATTTAATTATATTTTCGTTGATTTAAATGAATAGAGTCAATTTGGCCTAACAAAAATCTATTTATCTATATTAATTTATTATACATATTAAAGGAAAGCTCAATATTTTCTCAGGTCAGGCCCACAGTGGTTGAGCAAAATAAGTGCATAGCTTCTTTATTTTCTTTTTCAAAGTCATCTGATCATATCTGACATGCAAACTAAGTACATGTGCATGCATGCAATGATGCAACATTACATGTAGCTACAACGTAATGAGGCACGTAATCAGATTTGACCAATGTCTAAGAAACTATTAATGTTTCTTTAATCTCAATTTGGTAGTAATAGATGATGCTATAATCAAGTACTTATCCCAGTTAAATTGGAAATTAATTTGTACAGATTCCAAATTTTTTATGGCAAAACTAGAAACAAATGCTTTGAATGGTTAAATTATTTTGTTATAAATGAGATTACATTTTTAAGATAAGGTAAGAATATAATTAATAATTTTGGATATAATATAATTATATGACATAAAAAATATTTAAAAATAACATTGTTAAAATTTTGATAAAAATTGTATATAGGCTTGACAACAATAAAACTATATATATCATATTTTTGTGGTTAATTATGAATAATAATATTTATATTTTATACATATTTAACATAATAAACACAATATAAATATATGAATCATTAAATTTTTTAAAAAAATTTATAAGAGTTGAAATTTAAATTTATTAAGTATATTTTTAAAAATGATTGGATGAATAATTTAATTAAACTTGGGTTCTAAAATCATTTCTTTATTGGTGCAAAAAGTAGTAATAAATGTTAGAATTGTTCCGAACATTAGACAATTCGCAACATCAACCTTACGTCATTACCATTAATCTGGTAACCAAAACTTTATTTAATAATTAATGTCCGGTTATCCTTATCTTCAAACCGACTCTCACCCATTTGGTAGTGAAGAAATGAGAGCTTACCTTGTTTAGAGCAAGACAAAGGGAACTCGACTCCTGACCTTGCCCACTTAAATTCCCAAAAGGAAGTCGCTTTCTTATTTCTTAAAGAACCCGATTGCCCCTTTTCTCTCAATAATTCAGATGTAAAAGCCAAAGGAGGATGAGGCAAGAAGGAATTGATCAAATTATTGGCTGAGTTTATCTTAATTGTGTAAGTTGGTTGAGAAGGGTAACTTTAGCAAAATCATTGGCTCTTTTGTTGACGAAATGGGATAGTGGGGGGCCATATTGGACCACTTCAAAAAAAAAAAAAAAAAAAAAAAAAAAAACAAATGAAAGAACCCAATGTTACATGAAAGCCATTGCTTTTTTTATTTTGGTCTTTTGATTTAAAAGTGAAAAATTATTAATGTTTAAAAAGGTTGGTGAGGTAAACAAAACCCCAAATGGCAAATCTAATTCAGCATCAAACCATTGAGATTTTGCGTATGTCATGTGCCCTTTTTATTGATGTGGTGATCCTTTGATTCAAGCATTTTTGAATGGGGTGTGTCATGTTCCACTGCCCCACCGGGGAAGTTACCAATTGGGGATTTCATCATTCATTCTCTCCAGCACATCAACTGTCTTTTGAGATGGGGTTTACTACTACGTCTATTACATTTTGATTTGTTGCTATATATAGGGATTATGTCACTCTATATATTTTCATATGAGGCTGATGCATATTAAATTTTGATTATTAATTAAAATTTTAATATTTTATTAATAAATCATACATTTATTTGCTATTATATATTTATGTTTAACGTACGGGCATTTATACCTCATACATTTTTTTTAGTCAATTGATTCAAGAGTGAAATTAAAGTGTTTGGTTTTTTTTTTTTTTTAAATGACACATTACATATCGAGATTTAAGAATTTTACCAATTTACTTGTGTCCCATTGATAGAGTACTGAATAATTAATTTTAATAATTAAAATTTAAAATTTGATAATTATCTAAGAATTTTATCTCAAATCTTACTTTATTTTTGTCACTTCATGACCTGAACTTAAATACCAGTTGGCAATTAACATGCTTGACATTAAAGTGTTATACGTAAATGACACATTTAACTAATTAAATTATAGTCTAATTAAGATTATGTGTACTTTATTAACTAGGGTTGGCATCGGGTCGGGTTCGGGGCGGGTTTTGCTTGCCCCGAACCCGACCCGACATAATGCTTAAAAAACCCGAACCCGACCCTACCCGAAAATTTTTTTTGTTTTTTCATACCCGAACCCGACCCGACCCGACCTTATATAACCCGTACCCGTACCCGACCCGAACCGAAATTAATAAAATATTATTTTTTTAAATATAAAATATTAATTTTTAAATATAAAATATTTAAAAATATCATTATATAAATATATATAATTAAAAAATTAAAAAATTAATTAAAAAAATTATTTATATATATATCGGATCGGGTAGGGTCGGGTTTGCCTAAAACCCGACCCCGACCCGACCCCGACTTTGTCTTCATCCTACCCGACCCGACCCCGACCCGACCCCCGATTTTCAAAAGAAAAAACCGACCCTAAAAAATCGGGTCGGACCGGAACCCGTCGGGTCCGGATTTTTTTGCCTTCCCTATTATTAACCCATGAAATTACCAATGAAATTGATATATATTTATGAATACATATATTTTTATGTAGTATATGGAAAGATTAACTAACTTTTCGGTACTTTAAAGTTTTTATTTATTTTTTATATATTAACATGACATGAACGGACTTAAAATTGCCTAATCAAAATACATTTCTATTAACAATTGGAGTTTTACTTATGTGATGATAAAACAAAAGGGACATTGCCTTGCTTATATAAACATGAAAACTAACATTTATCAATTAACATCCCTTTGGCTAGACAACATACGGCGTAGTTTCGTCCAATTAAGTTGCTGGCAGATAATGGGCATGTCTGCTATCCATCTATAGACGGCACTGGATTGAGCAGGCTCCGTTTGATTTGCGTTGTTATTATTTATTTTTAATTTTTAATATACAAAATAAAAAAATAAATTGAAAATAAAATATGAATAACAAAAATTTTATAAAAAATTAAAATACCAACCAAAGCCTTAGTAATTAAGAAAGCAACTGAAAAAAAAATCATTTTTTAAGGAGTACCTTATCCGTGGTCCTTATCCACGATACGATTTATTGATTAAATTAAGAAAGAATTTCTAAACAGTAAAAAAAAAAAAAAAAACTTAAAAGTATCTTGGGAGCCAATCGGTGAGCCACTTCTCTTTCAGGTTTCAATCCTTGCCCCATCATTCATCAACTTGTAAGCTTGAGTTGCTTTCTCGTGAACTTCAAAGTTCAAGCAGTTGGCCGACAGAGACGGTGGGGACACATGACGCTCCCTTACAGTAACCATCCAATTACATATCAATGATCGATTACCTTTAACAAAGCTGACTTAAAAGGTATCTTTCCGTATCTTTTTCAAGATTTATTGGTGACGACTAGAATTTAAGTTGGAGAATCGTCCGGCTGCGAGCTAGTGTCATGACCCTGGCCTCAATCCAAAATATGCTTATCTTGGTCACCATTTCTCTATTTATATCCAAAATCATTTTAATACACATTTTGATATCAGATTTAACACGCACTTACTTACCCTGACAACTCTTTTGATTAAATACTGATGTCTTCATAAAATGATCCATACTTTGTTATGAGGTATGACGTTATAATATTTTTTAACCTACACATAATACTCTCACAACAGTTTTGGTATTATTTTTCATGAGCTTAAATCTCAATTCATAAAATTTGAACGATCATTCCTCTATTTACTCCTAAAATCATTTTGGTATGCATCTCATCTCTGGCTCAACACACAAAACAAATGACATTAATGGGCAGCATATTTCACGTTCTTCCCAATTTTTTTTATCTTTTAAAGGTGAGTGTGCAATGTTAAAGATAAAAATATTAATTTTATCTGTACTTAATAAAAATTTTAATTTTTTATTTGAATAAAAATAAAAATAAATATTACATTATGAATATAAATATGAGTATAATTTTAAATTTTTATTTAATATGAGGATGGGACAATTAATATAGCATATGTTTCGTACTTGTATCTTATATATATAATTATAAATATTTAATAAATAATTTTTTTATTAAATAATATAAATTATTATTTTCGATTAATATATTTTTATTAAAAAATATATATTAACATATATTTATAAAAAATTACTTAAATATACAAATTAAAAATTTTAAAAGCTAAAAAATATATTTCTTTATTTTTATTTTTTTAAAAAAGCAATGTGTATAAAAGTTATCCATAACCAGAGACAATGCTGGAGGGGGGCTAACAAGGGCATGCCCCCCCCCCCCCCCGCGAAGTTTTGGATAATAAAATATTATTAGAATTTTATCCTCACTCAATATAAAATTGGCCCCCCTCCAATTGGTATATGAAACATGTAAACTTTACTTTTTATACATTATTTATTTATATTTTTATTAGTTCATTAGTTATTTTTCATTTATTTACTCAACTTAATTTAAAAATCAAAATTAAATTGAAGCCCATTTTACTACTTAAATCTAATTAAAATCCAAATAAACTATTTTATTATTATGTCTATGTCTTATGAACATATCTAGGTGACATCTCTTTATAGTTTCTATCAAAATAAAATTTTTCATCCAATTCCCAATCTGATCATCTCTTTGCTTTAGTAATTAAACATAAGTTTTTCAT